CACACTGCAAGAAAGAGTAGTAATTACTCTTATGTATTAAATTAGGGATTTCTTTTTAGTTACTGGCTTACAATACCACAAAGTCAAAACATATACTATATGCAGTAGCTCTTCGTTAATAATAATAGTTTTGAAAGATACTTATCTTCTAAGAACTCTAGTCACTGTTCAAAAGTGATGCTAATAAAATAATTCTGGTAATAAAATACTAACTAATATTAGAATTGGTATGCTCTTAGCAACTTTTCTGTTCATGAGCCTATTATTTGTTTAGATAAAACAATTTAAACATTGTATTTGAACTAAACCACTGTGGTAGAAAGCCACAAGAAGTCATAACACTGGCAGGATGGACACAATGTGTGGAAGACACATTTGTTTCTTTATACCTCTAAAAAGGATAAGACTCAAATTTATCATACAAAAAAAATAATCAAGTTTCCTTGTGCAGGCTGCTAGAATGCCCCATAACAAATCATAAAAACTGAAACAAATTACTTTCTCGGGAAGGATCCAGCAACAAGGTGGCTTCACAATTCATGTTCCAATAAATCTTTAACTGCTGCACATCCAGCACACTCTTGCAACAAGGTGGAGCACACTAATGTTATTGCAGCACATACAACAGTGGAAACCTACCCATTACTCTTATCCAACAACAGATCTACTTGCAAAAGGAGAGAGGTTCACCGACATCGCCTTTTGAAAAGGGCAAACTCATTCTTGCTCCTAATTGGATTTTTAACATCTATAGCCACCTCTTTGCAGTTGGAGTAAAATTTCAGAGGCCTTGGTATAATAAGCATTTTTCTAATGAGCGATTTCTCCGGAGTTGTTAAAACCGATTCAGACTGAAGATCAATATCTTCTCTACAAAATCATGACTATAGTCTCACTTGCCATGATTACTGTTGAAAGGGATAGGACAAAACCATAAATTAAGCCTCAAATGCAGCTACCTTAACAATAAGGAGACCAGCACTTAGAGATACTTTCAAAGTCGCTGTTTCAGCATCTTACATATACTATCTTTTTTTTTTTTATTCCTATCTGATGATTTTTTTTTCTCTTGGCAAAGGTAAAAACAAAACAACACTCAGCAAAAGGGTATAAACGCAAATGATGCAAATCACAGGTTCTCCTGCAGCAGCTCAAAAGCCAGACCTTAGAGCCTCCTGGAGAACTTTCCTCCTCTGCATCAGCTGCCCGCAGCCTTCCCCACGCTGGGAGCGGGCAGCGGCACTCGGGGTAGCGGGCTGGATGAGTAATGATGTTGGTCCGACTGGACAACGGTAACCCTGGCAACTGTAACCTGCAATTCCTGCCTAACCATTGTGGGATTTATTGTGGCAGGGGCCAAAGAGGCCAAGAGTAAAATGAAGCAGAGAACTATGGTGTCTGACACATCTAGTACCACACACTTTAATCATAGCTGGCAGAAATTAATTCAGGAGGAATTTTTGCAAGGGCCCCCCATGCAGTGTATTTTGTTGTTGCTGTTGCTGCTGCTGCTGTTCTGGCCCAAAATATTTTTTTTCAAGGGTTTTTTTTTTTTTGATGTTTAGTATTTTTTCCTTTAATTATTAGCTGTTCAGAATTTTTTTTTAAAGTGACTAACAGACATCTCAAAACTGTTTATTAATCTGACTATATTAAGATTTTTTTCCTTTAGAGGAGAAACATCTTATTCACAATGTGTATCTTCTCAAGTACATGTATTAGAAGAGAAACATATCTAATATCGGACCACATCCACTAGAAAGATTGTTTTTTCAAAGCCAATATTGCCTAACTTACACAGTAAATATTGTTCAGTAAGGAAACTTAACCTCATTCCAAGCACAAGAAATGTAAATCAAAAAGGACAAGCTTTGTGCAACTTTTAAATGCCACTGATTAATAAAGGTATCTTTTAAAACTGAATTTTCAAACAGCTTTGGGTCCAGCACTTGGTATCCTGCAGCAAACGGCAATCGATGAACTGTGATCTAACCAGCCAAAGTAAGCAGTCAAAATCTATTTGCCTCAGATAAGCACTCACTAGGCTCTAGGAGTTCTCTCTACTAAGGTACCATCGCCAGTGCTAGACAAGTTAGTGTGAGCGGGCATACAGGTCACTGAAAACAACGCATCCCCTTCTCACAGGAAAACCACTTGCTGAACAAGGGCTTATATTACCCCAGGGGATTTACAACAGCACCTTTATTTTAAACAGTGTTGGATCAAAACAGAGGTTCATGTACAGTTTGCTTTGAAAGATACCTTGCAAGGTAAGATTAATATACCCTACAGTGCTACTCATACTATTTTTAACATTAACTACTTCCTATTGAAATATTTATGTCAAAACACCTTTGCAGATAACTCTTAATGGGAAAATCAGTTTCTCCGTTTTTAACTAGTTCCAGGAGGTTTCTTGGAAGGCTGCTAGATCTGAAAGAAAGTAACCTGAAAAATAATTCATTTAATTACCTTTGGAAATCAAGTGTCTTTAGACACAGAAAATAATGCACTGTCTCTTTTAAATTCTCAACCTATAGCTTTCCTTTACTTACACTTCCCATCTGTCAACAAGTGCTTGTAATTTTATTACACTGTCCTGTAGTTTATGCAGAGTTGGTATTATTTTACAGAGTTCTGTTAATGGACTGGATAAATGATAATGCTATTTAAACTAGTCTCCTGCTCCAGCAAACACAGCTGCAACTGTACTACTATTTCTAGGCAAACATCTTGACCTGAACACGCAGTGCTCTCAACCCGTCCAAAGAGAAATTGGAGCAGACAGCAAAGGGAAAGCATAGCTGTCCGCTGGCGGCAACCAACTGTGTCTAATCATAATTCATATACAGTATACCCTCTTTCTTTTATATTGCATTTAGGCTACACAACAGGCATATGTGCTTCTTCACCTGGCATCTCATTTACAGCCAAGGGTCAAATGGTAATTATTATTCACAGAAGCTCAATAGTATGTTGAAAACCCTCAGTACACACACTGTTTGATTAGCTGTTAAATGCCAAAAATAAATACTAAAACCAAAGCATATTATACATTTTATTGATCATGTTTAGAGAACTTTAATTCTCCTTAGAAACATATATATTTGGATATAAATACATATAAATATATACAATGATACATGTAAAAAAACCAAATCATTTCATGCTCTTCATAGTGATCAAGCTACATATAATCTGAAAACTGACCAAGAACATTTAACTAGCATCAATCCCTTTGTTGACCTGATTATTTTTTCAATTACAAATTTAGTGTTAAGCGACTCTAGATTTTCAGTATCGCTCATATTTTCTTTTAAACATGAATACATTATAACCAGACATTCACTTTCATGGTCTGATCAACAATAACCCTTAGGCAGAGGAAATTTAATACTGTGAAGCCAGTGATCTCTTACTTTCCACCATATACGCTCTGAGCAGTTGTGTGCTTTATGTCAAAGGATATTATAGATTTAAGACTAGCATTATCAAATATATATTTCTGAATTAAATAGATTCAAGTATGGTTTTGCCTGAAGTGTGCGTCCATTTTTTGCCTGCAAATTACAGCTCATTTCTATTTTATATGAATTTAGGTAACAACCATTATACTATAGGTGGAATAATAAAATGGTCATAAATCCCTTTCATTTTCCTTCCTGATGGATGAATATATCATAATATTATAGCACAGTAAAATATTTTTGTTTGTCAGAACTAAAGCCTTCAGGAGCTTTCTGGCCTAGTAATTTAACAACTCATTGCATCTACAGGGAAGTTCTGCAAACAAAACATATATCTAAAGCAAAGGAAAGAAACAAAAATACACAGAACTAAATGTTTACACTAATAGAGTAATTTTCAGTTTACCATTTCGTATCACTATGAGAGGAGAAAAAAAGAACTATTATTTCACAGTATTAAAACAGAAATCAATTCCTAAAAATAAAAGCTTCATTATACCATTTGTTCTCAAGAATATTTCCATATACTAAAGTGGAAACAAATCAGAGGAACCCCACCTTCCTCCACCTTCTCTCTTTCCCCCCCCCCAAGCACACAAGGGGTGAAACTCAATAAAATCAGCAATTTCAACAGCAAAAATCTCATCTGAAGCCTAAAGAAATGTGTCAAATACGTATCTAATTAAAACAGGGCTGAATTTGTACAACCTTTTCAGAGCCTACTTAAGCATGTCACGTTGTATCCCTTCCATCCCACATACTGTAACTTAAAGGTACCTTAAAATTTATTTTGTTACAATAACCTATCATGTAGATAAATACAGAAATCAGTATCTAAACTTCATTCCACGTTTTTACTGCAACAGAAATAAGTGGATGCATAAAAGGGCCAATGGGTCAAAACATTAATTTAAAAATATTGCCAAGAGTAAAACATTACCAAACCAAAGAATACAATCAAAACAAAAACTCATTACCCAATTTGATATAGTTTTTATTTACGATAAAACATTTCATAGTTTTTTTCTTCCCAGAGTTTAAGTTACTACCTTTGTTTTCTTTGTGAGGGGACACAGGAGAGAGGAGAGACCAGACCTACCATTTGCCAGCGCTATGATTTTTCTGGTCAAGTGCCCCCAGCCACAAAAAACAGAACATCACAAAACCAAAGTGTTTACACAGTGCTATATCTCTGGGTCAGAATCTCCACAGGCATTTTTTATTTCTTTTAACATAGAAACCAAAAAACAAACAGGAGAAAAGGAAAGCCAAAGTATTCTTTCAGCAAAACTTCATTACAGAAGTGGGAATGGATGAAACAATATTTTGTCTCATACAACTATCAGTATCTAACCTAGATTTTAAAAAAAATCTTGCAAAGCAGTCAAAGTACTCGGCTTAAACAAAACATCAATGTTCCTAGATGCATTTTAGCTCTGTTTGAGGCAAAAGACAAAAAACTTAATGCAAGGCAGAGTAACAGACCAATTCCAAATTTTCCAGAACAATAGTTATTGGGTCGTGCCTACTTACAGCCTGTATAACTTCGGTGTCCCCAGAAAGAGCAGTTCAGAAAGCAACTGGAGGTTATTTCTGTTTAGGCGCCTTTAGAAAGAAAAAGAAAAAGTTGTGTTAAATTACGAGTGCTACAGCAATGCGAAAGAAAAAGAAAAAGTTGTGTTAAATTACAAGTGCTACAGCAATGCAACCACTTTGAGCAGGCATCCCAGTGCTGTAACAAGCTGATTTTAAAGACCAGAAAGGCTATGCAAGGCTGGTCCATTAGCGGAGACATGGTCCAGCAGTAAATTTACCATGGACTAATTACATTTTCTGGTTTCCCCAACAGACTATATTACCTATTTTATGAAAGATTTTGAATCTCTGTAGTGTGAATCAATCACTAAGTCAGGACTCTATCCTGCATAAACAACCAGAAAACTAAAAATACAAAATTAGCAGTGTAACGTCAATTCCCCACCAACTCTGTGTTCCTCTTAGTATAATGAAGCAGATAGACATTTTGTGACCATGAAAAAGTTCAAGGGAACATGTATCAAATGCATACACTTAGTTCAGTAATGAGGTAATGTATCTAAAAATCCGTATAACCTATTTAAATAAAAAAGCAAAGGAAGGTGTTAGAGAAACTCTGATCAAGTGAAAGTCAGAAGAATCAAAAAGTCCCAGTATATTTGGCATTAGAGGGGTATTTTGCATACAGGTTTTTTTTCTACAGTTGTAAAGATACACCAAAAGGAAGTTAAATTAAAAAAATCACCATCAGTTCTACATAAGACAGTACAAAAGAAAAACTGCAACTGGAATCTGGAAGGTACCCATTTGTCTATGAAGTTTCTCACTGAACATGCTGACCAGGGTCAAAACTGCTTAGTTTGAGGTGACAAGTTCAAAGCCCACCCTCTTATAGCCATAGGCAACAGAACAACCACTAGCCAAGACAAATATATTCCATCTTCATGACATTCTTTTTAAACATACAATGCATATTATTCTTTCTAATGTGTATAAGTGATGGCCCTGGCGCATACAGTTGCACCAGTCATAAATTCAAGCTCAAAACAGGTTTTTGGTTGGTTTTAAGCCATGCACCATACATGCCACCTGCCATTCAAGCAAGGCAACATACTGAAAAAAATGTTTTGTCCCATCAGCCTCATCACAAGTCACAGTTTGCAAGGCACGGTGCTTCTCAATACAGTAATTCAAGGCATTCCTGGACACCAGACTGCACGGTATTATCCAATGTTTATTTTATCCTTACAGTGGTTACGTTACACATGTCAATAGACTGCTACCAAGACATTCCACAAGGTTAAACAAAGATATTGGACAGAAGTTTTGCAAAATTAAGTTTTAGAATTTCATAAAGCTTCAGAATTTCTTGTTTGTTAGTCTTAGGGCTGAATTCAAACAATTAAGCCTGTTTAGCCTCTCAGGGCTCATTTTTCACAAACATTGTTCCATCTAAAGGTCTTTCCAATTTAAAGGTTTTTCCATAAATTCACATATAGATACTTACACTAACACACTCAAGATCCAGTTTTACATAGCTCCATGGCTTAGTTCACTTAGTTATTGCTCTCTTGAAGTTCAATGTGACTACTGATGAGAGCAAAATAATCTTTAGAAATATTCTTACATACCCACAGGTTTGCTCCCACATTTCAAACCATAAGCAAGTAGTCAGCTTTTTGAGATCTAGATATCCATATTTCTCCATTTTTAATGTCAGGTTCCTTTTTGTTAGCCAAGCACCAGAAATCCCAATTTCTTTAAGCAGAAGAAATTTAAATTACACATTTAGAAGCTTAAAAGAGAATCTGGAGTGAAAGAGAGAGATCCTGAAAAGGAAGGACTACAGTATGGGATAAGTGAGATGACTGGAGATGCAGTTTAATAAGAAATGCAGTTTAATAAGAAATAGAAGAAAATGCTTAACTCCAGCAACAAAAAAAAAAAATCTGAATTGTGATCTTGCAAGTCATATTTCCAAATCAGTAGAAAGAAAGTTTTCAATATAAAGGAAAGATAGAGCTATAAAGAAGTTAATGACTAGCAGAAGACTTCTGATTTGAACATTGCTTAAAAAGAAAACCTTACCTACGTAAAAACAAGAAAGTGATGTATTTTAGTGTTTGTGGATCTACTGCATTTTCAAAATAAGGTCATTTAAAAATAGACAGTTTCTTACCTTTAGTAAATTTATGTATAAAAGTATATACTAAGACTACAAAACTGAACTAGGAAGAAAATTATTTCAAAGTAACAGTTACATTTGTGATCAGAATAGGATAACGTGAAAATGGAATTCTTAGACACTGAACCTGAACAAATCATTAAATAAAGAGAAATAAAATTCATTCATCCCTTCTCTTTGCTAAATAGATAGTTCAGACTTAAACCTCTAAGTTCATGATTACAGATCAAAAAGTACATGGGAAAACATGCAGGGTAAAGATTTTGGGAAGTTAGTCTCTAATCAGAAGCTATTCAGGACAAGAATTTCTGTTGATATTTTTCAAGGACTCTATTAGGTTCAAATACTAGACAATAATGGCGAGCTGTAACAATGGGGCAATGAAATCACTCAGTATCTGTATTTTTGTAGAAGTTCCATATAATACAAAAAAGGTACTATACTACAATGACATAATATTAACTGATGATAAAGTTCTTCAGGCAGGTTGCCTTTCACTAAATGCAACAACAGTCTCACAAGGACACACTTAGCACCACTTTAGAAGGATACTTCACAGGCAAAATAATTGTGCTAGTACATAACTTTCTATACAAGCAGTTAACACCTTAGGTCAGGAGTTTCTGTTACTATTCTGTAGTTCACATGGCCCACACAATTGAGCATACTGCTGACATACTGATGCATGTGCTGCTGTACAGACTTTAAAATCTAAGTTATAGACAATAGATCAAGTTCATGAATTAACCTAACAATAAATAGCACCACCCGCATGACTCAGTTTCCACCAAGTGAGTTTGGCACTTAGAATTAGTGTTTCAACCTACATTTTTACTTTGCCTTTCACAAAATTAAAAGATTTGTTCTTTGAGCAGTATGTGAATTGAGGGAATGCACAAGTTAAATAAATTACTGATCTTTAATGAATCCTGTATTTTGTAGCTTCTACTTAGAATAACTTCATCCCACTCATTGGAGTTTCTTTTAGAACTAAGCTTTTTCTACCAAAAATCTGACCATTCCTTATCGCCTGTGCCTAAGGATATCAAACATTACTAATTTTCATGAAAGCAATAATGGGAAATATGTCGTTTATCATACTTCAGAAAGAGGCTTCAGCTACTCTTTATATCTAACAAGTTATAACAGAAGCTTTCAAAGGGGTCAATTTGCTGTTCTTAAGTTTCCTACAAGGAGATTTTATGAACTGGACTGCACTGAAATTAATTTTTCAAGACTACAATAGATAATTCCGTTTAAAAAAATGCTATGAATTCACACATAAGTGAATGTGAAAAATGATGCAGAACAAATCTGGAATACACAGACTGGTATCACAGTACACAACAGCTTCCAGTTCAACAGTCACTATGAAGAGTTTTCAATCTTTGAGACAGAGCCACACAAGGAGTCCAGAAAACACATTCCTATTTTAAAATGGTTCACTAATATACATGGTTCTCCAACAGTTCCACTTTTTTAGGTGACCTCATGCTTAATTTTGTCTGAAATAACGATACCTACCCAGAACACACAGACATAATGGAACAAGAGTGAGACAGGCATGATCCCCTTTCTCCCTGGAGCTGAAACCAGAGGTAAGCACAGATGGATCACAGAATCCATGACCATAGATTGCAAACAACTACAGCTACTGCAGAGTAAAAACAACCAGAAAAACTCCACCACATTTTCTTTCAATGCATGTTGGCAGAGACCTCACCGCAGCTAGCTAGCAGGCAGCATTTCCCCTGGGACAATGTGAGAATAGAAATTTCAGTTGCGTCAACTGAACTGCTCTCCCAGAACTGACATGAAGTTCAAGGTGAAGCACTGAAGAAACAGTGGTGAGATATTCCATACTGCTACCGTTCAGTTTCCCAACTGAGCTAGTAAAATTTGTGTTTCTCAAGCAAAGGCAGAGAGCTCAGAAGAGATGAAGTGTTAGTGGTGTAAGCAACACAAAATGTACTGGAGAATCTCTTCTAACATTGCAGTACCTTGGACTGTAAAGTCCCTTGGTACTGGCCAGAAATAAAGGGATGAGAGACCAACATCATATAATTCTTTCAATTTAACAAAACTGAGGCACAGTTGCAATTAAAATATATGTAACTTCTTTTTGTTCTGTTACTGAATGCATCTTTAGGAAGAGATTGGGCAAATTGACAGACTGGCACAGGTACATTTTTGAGCTCTTCATGATGAATTCAAGCAAAGTCCACATACTACCTAAAGTACACAAAGTATTTTAAATACTTCAGCTTAAAGCTCCCACAGCTCAGCCTTGTAAACACAGTAAAGACTAGAAAAGCATCTTCAAAGCAAAGTGATGGAAGAAGTATATAGAAATATCAATTTAAGGACAAAGAAGGAAAATCTTTGACAGATGGGCAGGTGAAAATACTCTTTAAAGGAAGCTCGATACCAACAGGCAGATAAAAAGTAGGTACAGACAAGCAACAGGTTGCAGTGTGAAGCAGACAACAGTAAGGTAAGCAAAAAAATTAGCTTGATTTGAGTTACTAGTTCTAGAGAACAGGCTAGCTTTGTATAAATGGGTGCATATCTGGGTTTTACTTCGAATCATAGAATAGTCTGGGTTGGAAGGGACCTTTAAAGGTCATCTAGTCCAACCCTCCTGCAATGAGCAGGAACATCTTCAACTAGATCAGGTTGCTCAGAGCCCCGGCCAACCTGACCTTGAAGGTTTCTAGGGATGGGGCATCCACCACCTCTCTGGGCAACCAGTTCCAGTGTTTCACCACCCTCAGCGTAAAAAATTTCTTCCTTATATCTAGTCTAAATCTGTCCCCCTTTAGTTTAAAGCCATTCCCCCTTGTCCTGTCGCAACAGGCCCTGCTCAAAAGTCTGCCGCCATCTT